CAATCGAGCGAAATACACCCAGCTCCGTCGTCACCTCCACCTCCACAGTGGGGTTGCCGCGCGAGTCGAGAACCTCGCGTCCGTGAACCTTCTGGATTGTCATGCTTACTCCTCAAGATCACCTTCGTTTTATTGCGTTTATTTTTGTTAGTGATTTGGTGTTATGTCAAGTGTAATAGTTGCTGATTCAACTACCGTTGGCAGTGCCGCGGGGGTGCGCACCGTGCAGGCAAAACAGAAAAAAAAACATTTGCTAAGAAGAACGGAGCAGACACCAAACAACGACGACAACGGCAGGCATGGCGAAGAGAAAGAGCGAGGCAACAACACACACGCCATCAGGCACGAGGTGTTCTTCCCGCAACTTCGCCTCCGTCAGAGGGCAGGACGCAACCGCCCCCCCACCCCCCCTCAAAAAACACAAAAAAACACACACGATCTAGCGCAGCGCACGCAACGAGGATTTGCACACGAAAGGAAATACGTTTGCAATGCCTGGAAGTAATGTCGCAAGCGTATTTTTGTTTTATTGTTGTTAGAGTGACGAGGCGTACGGGTCTTGTTTTTTTTCTGTTCGTTGTACTCAATGTGTTGTATTGTTTGTTAATGTTGTCTTTGCAGGTCATAACATGTTATGTTTGATGTGCCTACGGTGTTTACCTTTTTTTTTTTTTGTCTTGCAATAGAGACGGTGGGGAGAGAGGACGTTGTGATGCGTTGTAGAGGTGCCATATGCATTTTGAAGTTTTAGTTTTAGTAGATGTTGTTCGCAGAGAAAAGTATGGCGGGTGTTGTCAACGGTGTGAGAGAGAGATAGAAAAACAAAAAAAAATGGTGTGCAATGAAAATCAGGCAAACAAACAAACAAAAAAAAATAGTATACATCGCTGGGTTGGAGTACGCGTGGTGTTAGGAGGGTGTGATGAAAAGACATTTTGTTTGTCAATATATATATATATATATCTTGTTCGTTTCCTTTTGCTTTTGGAACTTCTGACGGCAGGGTGGTGTGGGGCGAGATGCTGCAGGTGGTAGTCTGGCAAGTCATCCTCCATTCAGCTACCGTCTGCAGAGGCAGAAACGCGGAAAAACAATTTTTGTCTTTGTTTTTGTTTTGTTGTTTTGATTTGTCCGTGATATTCCCATAATTTACGCGCTCATGAAGACGACATTTCTACAGTTCTCACTCCTTCCCTCCGTCTCCACCCAAAACTGCCACGCTGGCTCCGCTGAGGAATCTTCGGAGGCCACAACGAGTTGTTCCCGCCTTCTGCTTCATGCATTACACCATGCTGGTGTCGTCGTCGGCTGCGTACCCCCACCCCACCACCATGCTCCACGGCCTACGGGAGGTGCGTTGCGGCAAATGCCCAAGAATTTGTGCCTCCAGAGTCTGATGTTGCCTCGCAGCTCCCCCTCCCTCTTTCCACCTCTCCCTTTCTTTCTTCATCCGGTCTTTGTTTTCTTCACGCTGCCCTTTTTTTCTGCAATCCTCCCTTGTCCTCTTGGCTTCTCTGCCATACCTCACTATCATTCCTTCACTGTTGTTGAAGTGGGACGTGGCTTCTTCGCACAGCACATGGACACAGACGTGCTTCCAAGTATGCTGCACTGCCAGTGCTCACTTTCTTTCTTAATTGCGTTGATGTTTGAACTCTCCGGCGTTATTTCCAACGCTCACCCGCTTCTGAGAGCATACATTTACACACGAATACAGCAAGTGAGGTAAAGGTTTTTTGTTTCGTTTTGTTTTTGTTTTGACGTGCTCGGGCGTTCCGAAAAGTAACGTTATCACGGAGCCCTCAAATAACACACACAGAAAAGTAAAAAAAAAACTAATATATATATATATATGTATAAAGTACTGAGATTTCTTTTGTAGCTCCTTTTCCAGTGTTGCCTTCACGCTGACAATAAATGAGGCCCCACACACATCCCATCCGTGTCTCTGTTTGTGTGTGTGTGTGTGTGTGTGTATGTGTGCTCGCGTGTGCATGGTTTTCCTGCAAAAGTTGCCGTTCTAACCTTTCTACAATGAAGGCGCCGTCGCCTGCTGTGAAGAGGCACCGCCACCCGCGCCAGCAATATTCGTGGAAGAGGCTGTCATCACGCCGGTCCCGCTCATGCGAAGGTTTAACTCAGACTGCAACCATTCACTCGGGTCTGTCCCAAGCGGGGGCTGGTAATCGCCACTTTGCATTCGTTGCGCGGACGGGCGAGTGCCTGTTGGTATGGATGGCTGCCTCTCCGGCGATTCGTGCTGTTGATTACGTTCCTCCTCCTTCCTGCGAAGTTTGTCGGAACGGGTCTCGTGGCGGCGGACGGCATTCGGCACATCCGGGCCAAACCGCTTCTCCTTCTCGTCAATTGCAGGTTGGTAAAGCCCTGGAAGACGTGCAGCCTGCGGTGGGTTGTTCACACTGTCCTCGCTAGTCCACGCGGGAGACGCAGAGCGGCCGGCAGTGGCAGCAGCCGCTGCAGTGACGTTGGCTGCCGCCTTCTCACCCTTCTTTTCCTCTGGACTGCCTATTGACAAACCGCGACGAGCAGCCTCCTTCTGCGGGTCCTCATCCTTCAGGGAAATTCCACCAAAGCCATACTCCTTGTACGGCAGACCATGCTCATCACACACGGCACGAGCCTCGCGCCAAAGATTCGCTCGTACTTGATGCATCAGCCGGCATGCCTTGTCACGGCGGTAGGCGGCCTGCACATAACTTGCCGCAAAGTGCTGCGCGGCGGTGGCATTGGTGTGGTGCACCAGCACTGTCGGTAGAGTGCGGAGGAAACTCTCAGAATGTCGCCATACCGCTTCTAAGGTAGCACCGTCGTTTATCTCATCTTCACTAAACGCCATTGCGAGGACACGACGGGCCAGGGGCAGCAGAACTTCGTAGTAGTGAACTTTGCCGCCATGGTCAGGGATATCGTACTCGCGCAGCAGTCGCATCAGCTCCACACGGTTGCTGCGCGAGGCAAGTCCGAGAGGTGGCCGTAATGCCTCTAGTAGCTCAGGCAATTCCTTCGTCCTCAGCACGAGCTTCGCGTTCGGGTCACGCGCTGACCACAGGTCGCGAAATCTTCGTAGGTCACGCATGCGTGTCACACTCGCCTTCATACGTGCCACTGCCACGTAATGGTCAACGACAACAGCCAAGTACAGATGCACAATCATGAGCGCAAAGCAAATGACAATGGGCACGTAAAACACAGGTGCCCAATTCGTCGTTTTGCAATCAGGTAGTGGGCAGGGATTTCCATCGGCCATGCTGGAGCGCAGCATTGCAACCCAGTCCTCCAGCGTGGCAAGACGAAACGTCATCATAAGAGCATTGGGAAACGTCAAAAAGTTGTTGTACGTCCCGTCAATGTGTCCCCCAGGAACAGGAACCACTGGACCAATAAAGTGCATGCCAAGCACCGCAAACACAAACACGGCAAGTGCCAATATCAGTGTGACATTTACAAGCGAAGAGGCAGAGAGCAACAATGCCTCATGTAGTAAGTGAAGGTGGTGTCGCAGTGGCAGCACAAAGTCCACAAGGTTTAGCATACGCCCAAAATGCAACAGACGAAGTACGTTCACGTTGAACGGCACCTGGTGGGCCGCTGTAGTATTCAGCCCAATTTGGAGGTACGAGAGACAAGTAACAAACACGTTAAACGAGAAGGACCAGCGCGAAAAGGCGCGTAAGCCATGAGCAGCAAGTTTCATGAGTATTTCCACTGTAAAGAGCGCGACCCATACATACTGCAGTGAATCCAAGACGTTTTCTTGTCTCAAGCTGTTACCATACCAGTAGAGGGACATTGTGATGAGGTTACAAAATAGTACACATGCCATCAGAAGTTCAAATAAGGGATGAACCACAATTCGGTGCAAAAAACGTGAAAAGGCATTACCCAACGACAGCAGTGCCACACGAGGTTTGAGGCGTAGAATCATGCGTTGCATGCGCAGCCAAAGTTGATGCTCAAATGTGATGTTTGTAACACCTTCCGCGGCGTTTTTGGTGAGCAGGTAGCAGTAAATTAGCGATGCAACAAAAAGTGAGAAGAGCACAAAATGCGACACGTAATAGTAGGCAATGAAAAACAGACCCTTGGATGGGTGACGATTGGCAATGGGTTGTGACTCCATAGACCACCCATCCACACCCTCGTAGATGACGTCCAGCCACTGGGATCCAGTACTCACCTCAAACATGGTCAGTAGACTTTCGTAGAAGTTATCAAAATTACGCTGCGGCCCGACCCATCTTTCACCCTCGGCAATGCATGAGGTTTTGTTAGGGTACGATAGTGAAGTGCAGCTGTGTGTTTGACCCATGAATAGGCGCACAGCGAGGATGGACCACACAATGTAGTTCAACAAGAACAACAGCAAAACGTTGGCCAAGGTAGGTACGCAGTTCCACATGGTCACGGCGAGTTTGGAGAGTTCCCTGTTGAAGCTGCAGTACCGTAAGGGCCCAAGAATACGGAAACATCGCATTACCTTGAGGTAGCGGAAGTGTGAGTACGCCGGCGCAAAGGCAAGCAGTGAGACAATGGTTATAAAACAGTCAAACATATTCCACCGATGCCAAAAGTACGCCACGTGAAGGTCGAGCACAACACCCATACTGATCCATTTCAACAACATTTCCACCACAAAGATGATGGCGAATATGTCGTCAAGAGCGTGCAGTGCCACGTATTTCCCGGAGGTGTAGTTGCTCACCCTTGGGTCATAGAAGCAGAGACAGATGGAGGCAGCAAATATGACGGCGAGGATAAACCACTCAAACCAACTGGATTCCACAATGGTGGTCACAAAACGACGTACCGGATTGCTGGAGGAAAATACGAAAAATGAACGGTCACGCCACGAACGATGAAAAGAACGATGGGTGGCAACACGCTCTTGCGTTTTCTGGTGGGCGAGGATGTAGGCAAGAGTTGCACGCCCCACCTGCTCCTCTCCAACATGTAGACTGATCAACCACTGCTGTAATTGTAGAGACTCCAGTGTCCGATCCCATGTGCGGTATTCCCGGACCTCAATGTCGGAACAGGAAAGGTATTCAATGCTATCAAAGAGTAGCATCCCACAGCTCCAGGCTTGCCCAAGCACCGTTTCTACAGCCTCCCGTGTCGGGGGTCCTCCTAATTCCTTCTGTAAACGAGCATACCCTATAATCGCATTCAAAACCAATTGACGTGAACTTCGCACGGCAGCCATATGACAATGTTCGGCATGCAATTCATCCGCTGTACGTTGTTGGACGTTTGGTGGGGCTCGCAACGGCATCTGCTTATGCGTGTTGCAGTCCAGACAGCGTTCAAATACACGGCAACGCCGTCCCAACATAACGTGCTTGTAGCGCAGGCGTGGACCAGAAAGGAGGATGTGCTCATAAACAATGCCACCACCCGCCACGGGAATACTCCCACGATATCCTCTCTCTTCAGGCTCGTCGGGCGGTGATCGATTTTCTATCACCCCCCCATATTTCGTTCCTGTAGGGGCTTCATAGCCCAATGTAGTGAAATACCCTGTCACACTCGAATGACGATCATTGGGTACAGGACTGGAACCACGCACCGCGTGTAAGCCCGGCGTTTGCCCTCCCTGTGGCTGGACAGTGCCTTCACGCCCTGCTGCCATATCGGCCGCATATCCAGTGCCGTTCTGTAATACCAATTCTGGTGAAGTCGGTATAAAAGGCAACGTATTTGCAGCGTAAAGTTGGTCAGAATCCGTCTGATGATACGCCGCTGCAGAAGCGGCACTGTAACGTCGGGCGAAGCGTAATTGAGCGTTTTCTGCCTGAAGCTTGGAAATAGGTGCAGTGAGAGAGGGTAGTTGTGGCTCTTCAAATGTGCTCGGTATACTCATTTGCCGCTGCAGCTGACCACCAACGTTGACAAACTGCGGCACCAGTACCGGTGGAGCGTGTGCGTCTGCCATCACGTACGACCCGAGGTTTCCAGTAATGCTAATACTGTTAGAAGACATCTGCTGAGGGTCTGTAGAGAAGCCACGTCGGGCAGCAGCTTCTCTACAGAAGCGTTCCTTGGCCTCAGCGATACGCAGTTGCCGACGCATGTCTTGGTTTAAGTGAAACACTTCATCGGGTGCCACGTCACGCCGTTCAAAGCCGCCATGAATATGCTTAAACGATCGCCACACAGTGAAGTCAAACCAACGCAGGCGCGGTCCTCCACAGTTTTGATTGCCACCTTTGCGTGTCCTGAATGGTGCGCAGTAATCCTCTCGCTCTTCCTCCTGCTGCCACGCCCACGCAAAGACGGCAATGAACAAGTAACGAAATATAAACGCCACACCAACGACAACGATGAAATACATAATTGTATACCCCCCACGGGCCCGCATCCCATTCCACGACATGTACAGCCACTCGTCACGATCGTATGAAAATGCCTGCGACACAGTGAACGCGGCATTAGAAAAGATATCAAAGGAGACATCCCTGTTGTAGCTGCCGTTGTAAGTGTCGAATTGACGAATCCGGCCCCCGAAAAAGGCCATACCAATGAGTAGCCACATGAACATGTATACAGAAAAGAGGACGAGTGCGTAGACAATGTCTTGAGACCCAAGCAGCAGCACGCGTGTGACTCGCCGCATGGAGGTAAAAGGTGCAATACGGAGAAGCCGTAAAAAGCGTACCCAGGTCAGCACGGTGACGACGTTGGAGTGACCAAACCCCAATTCGAAGAAGCCAATGACGGTCACGACAAGGCAAAGCACGTTGAAAAAGTCACATAGAAAAGGGCCAGGTCCCAAGCCAATAATGCGAATGATTAATTCAAGCATAAAGAATGAGGTAAAACAAACACCCGCAATGAAGAGACCGTCATCCCAGTAACTCGGTTGCCCATAGTGACGCGATGCATTAAACACACCGTTGACAAACACGAGGAAAAGCATGACCCAATTGAATGCGGTCACGGGTGCATTCTCAACGATACTTTTGGCCATGCGTATAGGTGAAAGGCTCTCAACATCATCATCGTTGTCTGGAGTCTTAACGGTATGCCCTTCTATTTCACTTTGATCATCCTTGCCGCTTTCGTCAAGGTGATCATTTTGACGAAGCAATTTGCCTCGTCGCGCGCTTTTTTGACGTAACTTACGCAGTGCAGCCTCCTCGTATTTATTTACATAGTTAAGTGGTACAAGACCAAAACGACGCTGCATTCGTTTATGCTCCCAGAGGTATTGTGTAAGAATGCGAGGGTAACCCTCGGTAAACATATGAAGGATGTTGCGCACAATGCCCCACCGTTGCCCATACGTTGTGGCGTAGCGAAAGTCACCACCCTCTGGATCATTGATAAGCAACTCTTGTGGCCGCGAGGCTCCAGGTGCCGATGTTTGTGCGGCGGAACAAAAGGCACTTGTGTAAGGCGATGGAGAACCACTGTTGCCGCTGCTGCGCGCTTGTACAGATCGACGATTGGGAATGACACCAGCAGACTCTCGTGTGGCAATAATACCGTTCCCCATGCTTTCCACGTGATCCCCACCGCGTCGCAATGGAGACATGTGAGGCTTATTGGGCGTGCTCGAAGTGTTGTGTGCGCCACCGCCGACAGCCCGTGGCCCACTGGGTGCACTACTCTGAGGCGTTGTCTCGTCTATCACCTCTGAATTTTGGTAGCACCTTAGAAACTGCAGTCGTTCCTGCTCATTCTCTAGACGAATAGCCAGCGGCAACTTGCTGCCATGAGCCGCGCCAATCGTGTATGTGAGAGGGTGGTGCTGCACCATCCCCACGCGTCCGCCAAGTGCAAAGTCGCCTCCCTCCATCTGGCGTGTTGTCTGGACGGAAAATGGTGAGGCAGTTTCAGCGCCTCCGTTCGCGTGAATGATGTCTTTTTCACCCGCCTTAAACATCACACGTCGTTTCTTGTTGCCATTCCCCACAAGGTCACGCTGCCGTGTGAGCGAGAGATGCAGCTGCACCCGTTGCTCGTCCGTCCATTTGGTGCGGTTCTTGATGCCACACCCGCCCCCACAGGCGCCGGACCCATTTAGTTCGATGCTCGAGGAAGGCGCAGACGCGGTGTCAAAGTTGTTTCTAATGCTTCCAGGGGGGCGTACACTTTGGGCCTGATGGTTTAAATCCACAGAAACTTCCTCAGGCATCCCACGTCGCACCCTCCCGCTGTCGTCACGCTCAACAAAGTCGTGTAGCTTAATGGCCTTCGTCATACGTTGCCGCTGCTCCAGTAACATGGCGTCGAACAGCTGCAGTTGCTTTTGCACAAAAAGACGATTCGTCTTCTCAATCTTTTCAATAAAGACACCAATGTAAAGGCCAGGAATAAACCATGCACAAAACAGGATGGTAAAGACGTAGTACAATATTGCCAGGGTATTCACCGCATCGTTTGTCTCCAGCAGAAGACTGGTCCATCCCTGAAACGTCATGATTTGAAACGTTGACAGCAGTGCATGCCCCACGTCATCAAAACTGCGGAAGTCGTAATGCGGGTTTGGAAACGCGTCTGCCACGCAACGGTATCCCTTCTCACATACATGGCCCCAATAAAACCAGTACTGTCCCGTCGCCGCCGGCTGGCAAAGCTGCGACGTTGCAGCCCCTGTAAGGGTGTTGACGCATCGGTGGTGCAGGCTTCCATGGAACAACTGCAACCCCATCAATGCAAAGAAAAATAGCGCATATACAAGAATCACGGAGACCTGAAACAGTTTACATGTAGAACGCAGAACAGACTTGGCGAGCAGTTTTATCCGAGTTGGGAAGGGAAGATACGTACATGCCTTGATGATTCGAATAAGACGAAACGCGGTAAAGTTCCAGAGAGATCTCCAATAGGTACAGTTCATCACCATCAGCACAAAAACCGCCGTGTCAAGCCAGTGCCATGGAGAACGGAAGTACGCACGCGGGTGAAGAACAAATCCGGAGGCGAACATTCGCACTAAAATCTCAATACCGTAAATAACAGTGTAAAAGACGTCGGCAAAAACCATAAAGTCAGGTTTATCTGACTCCAGTACCGTGTAGCGTGCCCAAGAGGCGGTAAAAATGGAGTATCCGAGTATGAGAAGTACAATAAAAAACTCCATAAGCCAATGATGCATCACATTATACGCCACCACACGTGCCTTCATGCCTGGAGGAAATACAAAAAATGAAGAGTGATGTAGTGCCACGGCCTGCTTGTGAATCTGATACATCCAATTCGCATCCCCTCGATCTCTGTCCTCCAATTCTTGCGGTGTCCGTCCATGCGTGAGCGCGCGCAAGCTGAGTGTATCAAAAACAGAACGCACCGCACGCTCCCGAAAAACATCTTTTTGCATCCGGCGTGGGTCCTGATTCAGTACAAAGGAACTCGATGAAAAGAAAGAATCATCGTTGGTATACTCCGCAAGCCGGTCAAAGAGTAGCACGTCTTCATCCACCTCCACACCATTATCTCTATTGTCCCCAATTTTATTTGGATTAAACTCTACAAAAAAACGTTCATCTGGGCGCGTTTGTGTTTGCAATGGACACAACACTTCTACTGTCTCTTCACCAGAAACTGCGCTATGTGTTCGTGCCTCATGTTGAATCGCAGACTGCATCATCGGCATACGCGACCTCGTTGATGACGCTCCTGCAGTATCCGTTGACCCCTTTAACAGTGTGTGTTGCTTTTGCTGTTGTTGTTGCTGCTGCTGTTCCTCCTCCTCTTGTGGTGGCGACAGCGGGTTCACGTCTGCACGGGAGCTTTGAATACTCCCTGCGGTATTATGATCATTTCCACCCTCATTCACATCCGGTAATTCGCCTGAAGGCGGTGCAAACGGCTTATCCGGTTTCCGTGGCGGTGGCGATTGCCGCTCTGAGACCGGCGCTTCAACCCCTCCCAGGTTTTGTGGCAACGGCGTAAGGTGTCCCAGCGGAGGGTAACTAGGCGCAGGCACAACCCCCACTCCCTTATGCGGAGACAGCGGGGCGGTTCCCTTTACAGGAGGAAGTGGTGGAGGAAGGCGCAGGCGCCCCGTGATTCTTTGTGGAAAAATGGTGTTTCTACTAGCAGTGTTGCTATTTGTCTGATTGTGCCCACCAGCTGTGGCAGGCAACTGCTGCGTTCGCTCGTGATACTCGCCGAGGGTTAGGCCCAGCGGGTACGGTGGAGGTGTCCTACTCATGCTGGCAGATTACGAACGCCGTTCGTACGATAACTCTAGGAAAAGCAGTTCCTTCCCTCTCTCCCGCACGAGGTTAATAACAGTGTACGGCAAGAACAAATTTGCTTGACTTATCCCCTCACGGAGGCCGCGCCACTGCCCCTCGTCCACCCTCCACCTAAGGCACAACTCACACGATGAACTCCCTGAATGGAAAATGGTGCGCCACTGCACAGTTCAACGCCACCCGCCAGAAAGATGAGCAAAAAGCCACGCGGGTCGGCAATCGAGGGTGATAGGACCACACACACCTCCAAAAAAAGAAAAAAGAAAGAGGAAAAAAAAACACAAAGTTTGAAGAGCACACAACAACGCCGTCACGCCTCCGACTCCTCCCACTCACAGAGAGAGTCTCTTTTGTTTCTTGTGCGACTGGTTTCTTCCTCCTCCTTTACAAAAGCACCGCCTCCGTTTTCACCTTTGGCCTACCAAACAAGATGTCCCTATCGTTGCTCTCGCCTTGTCTCTTACTCCCCCCTCCCGCTGCTGTTTCCCGCGAGGAAACGGTCACGGTGGCAAAGAGAAGAGTATCCAAACCCGAGAAAAGGACTGGAAGCAAACCAAACAAACATATATATATATCAGCTGGTCAATGTGCGGCGCAACTCCCGCACTCTCCACAGCCATGATCTTTCAGCACACAGTGGCGGAGGCAAAGGCCTTCGAGAGAGTACGAAGGAGAGGTAGGACGCGGCGAACCTCGCCGTACGAAAACAAACAAACAAACAAAAAAAGAGCTGGGAAAAGCAGTGGTGCGGCAAACACACACATATATCCGTTGCTTCCTCCCAGCGTTCACGACGAGAATGGATGATGATGAGCAATGCAAAGAAAAACCCAACCGTGAAGCTGAAACGTTGCCACGAACTCTCAAAGTAGAAACGCAACAAAAAGCAGAAAAGTCAAAAGGAAAAACACACACACACACACAGAAACAGAAACAGAAACATAGATACAAACGTCGTATCGACCTTTTTGTTTCGTTTCTACGCACACACACACCCTCTCTCCCTCTCTCTTTCTCTCCATATAAAAATATATCCTCGCTTCTTCTTGTTTCCTTACTGTAGTACATATTCTCTACCGCCGGGAGGTTCTGCCGCCAACTGAGCCATCAACTCCTCCTGCATTTGCGCAAACGTATGTGACACCATGGCGGAGGTAGACGAAGGGGCCGCACCCATCGCAAAGTGTGTGTGGAGAGGAGCTGAGTCCACGTTGGAGGTGCACCCACGACCCGAGGATGGTCCAACCCATGCCTCCTGCGGGTGTTGTTGTTGCAGCAGCTGTTGTTGTTGGGACAAGAATGTCATGAGCTGTTGTTGTTGTGCCATGAGGCTTTGAAGTTGAGCCAGTTGGTCGGGGTTCGGCTTGCCTTGCTCGTTAGACATGAGAGCCTGCAATTGCTGCTGCATTTCCAACACCACTGTAGACAAGGAATTGTGCGCAGCCGGCGCGGAGGAGGAGGTAGTAGCAAGGAAAGGAATTCCATTATCGGAAAACGCACCGTGGCTGCTTTCGTGATTCATTCTGCTCTCGCCTGCGGCTGACGCTGCATCAAGCAATGGTGACTGAGGTCTTAATGCTGACGTTGAGGTCGCAATAGTTGTGGGGTTGTCCTGCTTTGGCAGAGACGCGGATGCCGGCTCTTCGTCTGGTTGATGTTGCGGTGATGTTGTGATCCACGCCGCCTCCCATGGTTTTCCCGACAGGAGAAAGTCAAATGCGGTGATGTTGCCATTGTGAGTATCCACGGAACCAGCAGTGGTGCAAGCGTGGGATGGTGCGGCTGCCGTGGAGACACTCAACACCGCCGCCGAGTTCTCTGTGGCGGGTGCACCAAACAGATCATCCAGCATGCTTCCCTTCCCGACTGACTCACTATTTTTGCTATTGCTGCTTCTCGCGAGCGACTGCGCTAATAATCCAAACGAAGAAGCCGCTTTGCCGTGGCCGCTGACATGACTCTCGCTGCCACCAGCAAATGCATCTGTCTTTTCCTGCGGCTCCTCGTGGAGAGACATTGGCGCACGCCTCCTCAGCGTTGTCTTGTTCTTTGCGCCGCGATGATTAGCGCGAAGAGACATCCCACTCATATTCACCATCTTATCTTTTTCGCCCTCGCCGCCGTTTGCACTTAACTCTGCAATGGAAATCGGCGCCGCCCATGAAAAGGCGTGCATCCCATTCCCTACACTCTGCAACTGTTCTCCCTTCGTTGCCATCGAGAGGGCAGACGCGCCGCCATCCACGTCACCCTCCGGTAGGCCAAGAAGCCTCAACACACGCTGTGCACGCTCCCGCAACGTTGCCTGGACAACAAAAACATTTCGCTGCACATCCTCCGGATTTTCAAGAAAGTACCGCATAACTCCTTGCCGCATTGCAGCCGCCGACTCCGCGTCATCAACGTGTGGGCGCAGAATTGCCTCCAACGCCACAAGCGCGTTCAACCGCCGCTGCCACGGATGCTTCTGCGCAAGTTGTGCGTCGAGCGCCCCCGCAAGTTCCTCCCAGGTTTCCTCCATCGTTTCCTTCTCCCCACGCATACCGTGCTCTTGTGCCATCTCAGCACCTAATTTGTTGCACTGCTCTACGAAGGCATGCAGCTCTACCCGTTGAGGCGTACTTTTAGCTAGACAGAGTCGTTGCACAGATGCTTGAAGAGGAGTGAGCTGCAGCTGGTGGTGAAGATTTTCACTGTACGCTTCACGCGATGTGGTATTGCCCTCCCTCTTTTCTACTTGATCATCAAATTGAAACCCACTGCTTATGCTTCCCACAGGCTGGGGAATAGAAACGCTGACGCCTAAGTCAGGAGGCTGGAAACCGCCTGCGTTAACCTCTGACGAGGATGTCATGGAAGCGCCGGTGGTGCCCAGCTTCAAAGCACTTTCGTACAACTGATCCTTGACGCTCTTGTAGGCCATGCTAGGGTCTGCTTTATGCAATAGAGCAAATCCGCTCTTCGCCTTCTCCGCCAAGGATAAGAGCACACGGCTCGTTTTACTCCTATTTGCAGACTCAGCCTGGTTCGCCATGTGTTCCGCCCACTTATTCGTCATGGGCATCGGCGCAATGTTTCCGCTGTACACACCCATGGATCCTCCCACCATCGTCGCCGTCGCCACATTTCCCGTAGTGAAGGATGTGCGACCCATCGCTCCCTCGCCGCTGTTCCCGTACCCCTCTTCGATCATTACACGCTCCTCCACGCGACGCATAAAGGCGGCCTCCATGGCCTCTCTTGCAGCCTGACGAACCTTTTCATTGAGGCTGTTACCGTGCTTTGCGTCAGGCTTTCCCCGGTAGTTTGCAAAAGTTTTAATGACTTCAGTTCGTGTGTTTTTTTGCATTTCGCGCTGAAAATCGGAGTGCCCCATCTCGCACATTGCCTTAATGATGCGCAGCACCTTGCACAGCACATGCGCGCTTGCCTGCGGCCGCAGTTTATCAAAAAGGGCGTCAATCAACTTCATTTGTGTGTTGTGGTCCTTGAGTGTCCACAGCGCCATCTCACGATAAATGTACCCGGGAGTCGGATCCTCGCTATCAGCCACCGCGCACTTAAAGAGACTTCGGTCCATCGCGTCCTATCCTTACCTCCGCGCCTAATCGAAGAAGGGGCCGTGTTACGACGCCTCGTTTGCTATCCTCTGTTGAGGTACTCCCCCTCCGTGTGAATGTTTCAGAAAAAAAAGTATATATATATATAAAATGAGAACATCGCGGCAAGCAAACAAACAACCCAAAATAAAGAAAAACACGCACACACACACGACACAACTCAAAAAACAACAACAACAAAACAAAACAACAACGGTTCCTAGTGGAAGGATAAACAACTCTCGTACTCTAAATATATATATATGCCCTTGTTATTCCCTGCGAAGTGCCTGCAGCAAGACGCCTTGCTGTGCTACAAAGCCTTCCATCATCTGCCGCAGTTGGTCTATCTGATCCCGGTGCTGCCGCTGCTGCGCATCCCACTGCTTCTGCAGTTCCTGCGTCACAGCGACGCTGTGCTCATGCGCCAGTTGAACTTCTGTCGCCAACTGTGCGCAGAGCTCCTCAAGGTGACGTAAACGGTCATTTATGCGCTCCTCTTCTTGCTTTCTATGCGACATGGGCAAACCCACACGACAACAACGCGCCGCGGATCCATTAGAGCCACTTTCCTCTTCGCCCTCGCCACATGTCTTTCCAACGTATTCCACGACGCTCATTTCATCGTCCATCTCACTTGTCCCCATCACCGCGCCAGATCCCAGGCCCTGCACAGACTCTGCCAATGCCAATTCGGAGGCATGTATCTTTTGATAGCCCCCCTTTTCCGCTGTATGGCCCGTTATGTATCCTTCTTTTTCATTCCCTTCCTCATCATTTGGAGTCTGCGGCTGGTTTAAAATATTATATCTATACTCGTTCTCTTCGCGTTCAAACACGAAAGTTTTTCTACTCTCACCCTTGCGCCCATCTGCTGATGCGCGCGGACGCCGCCCATTCCCAACCTCTCCCTCATGTGTCTCGACACCCTTCTCAGAATGAGCGGAGACCATTGCCGCAGTTGCCGGTGTTGCTGCAGGACGCGACGAAGGCTGAGGCAGTGGCGGTTTCTGTGAAGAGGAGGGATAAGAGAATTGCGAATGACCCATGGAGGTGGGCAAGTTTCCTTGTGACTTTGACACCGTTTCTGTCGTTCGCGGCTTCATAAATATAGATTGACTCCCTTGTGGACGGTTCTCTGAGGTTTCTATGGAAGAACAGGGACCAGTAGGACCTGGCATTGCTCTTGGCGTTGCTTCTGGAATAATCTCTGCAGGAGTAGATGCTTCTGCTGCTGCATTTCTTACAGATCGCCGCGATACTTCTTGGTGTCGCTGCACATTATTTGGCGCATACAGGTGAGTATTCGGATAGGTTGCATACGGTGGTGTCACACGTGGCAAACCTGAACGCCACACCATCACAATACCGTCTTGTCCTGCCGTTGTAAAGTAAGCTCCATCATCAGAAAAGCGGGCGGTGGATACCGCTCCCTCATGTGCATTTAGTGTACAGTACAAGTACCCCTCCTTGAGGTCCCATAGCTTCACTGCACCGTCGACAGAGGCGGAGAGTAGCCAGCTTCCGGTGGGTGCAAAGCGAACCTCGTTGACTCCGCCATCGTGCGCGTCATAATGCTGCAGCAGCCGGTTTCTACGAAGATCAAACACATTTATGGTGTGATCTGCAGAACCCGTCGCAAGCGAACAGCTGTCGGGGTGAAAGTCCACCGAACGCACGGATCCAGTATGCTCATAAAAGGTGTGCGTCGGTCGTCGTGAGCGAGGGTCCCACACTTGCACTGTCTGATCATCTCCTCCGCTTGCGACGAGTGAAATATGTGTGGGTAGGAGCCCACTGTCGGAAGCACCACCGCCTGAGACGGCAACCGTTCGCACCCAATTCTGGTGCCCACCTGTGAAGCCGCAGACAAATTTGTTACCACCCCCCTTGACGCTTGTCGCGGAGGAGGCATAGTTGAGGTCCCAGCACTTGATTGACTTGTCGTTGCCCGCCGTGTAGAGGTGGTCATCATGCGGGGCGATAGCAAGTGACCGCACTGGTCCCCCGTGCGCCCGCCAATGGCAATAATTCTCAGGGCAATTATTGTTTGTCGAGGGCGCCGTCAATCCACCACTGCGCCTAAGGGTCGGTAGCCACAAGCGGACAAACCCGTCATGGCCGGCGCTAGCGATGAGATGGGCGTGCGGGCTCCACGCACAGTCGTAAACAGGACCACGGTGCCCGATAAACCGCAGGGCGCGAACTGTGGGTCTGGCGCTCCATAGAAATACAAGCCCATCGGCGCCCGAAGAGAAGACGTACGGTGGCACCGCATCAGCCGCGTCGCCACGTCGCTCTAGCAACGACGAAGCAGAGGGTTGAAACCCAGCGGCCAACACACCACTCCGGTGACCGCGGAACGTTAACACAAGCGACGGACGAAAGGGTTGCGAATTGAGGGGGTCAAGCGCCTCAACAAGTGCGCCAGGCTGCCTTGCGGCACTCTCGCTGCCGCGTCTCACCGACGACCTTGCAGAGACCATACCAGACATGTATGCAATAAGCAAGTCCCGTTCTGTCACACACACACACAAGACCTTTATCTGTTTTTTGCCGCTCTTTCGCTGCTTTGCGTTCTTATCCTGTATCTGCAAAGGACCCCCTTCGCAACGCCTCGGCAAAAAGAAAAGCACCTTGTTTCACCCAAAGAAATAAACAGAGATAAAAGAGGCAGCGCACACGCAACGGCATTTGGACATTTTTTATTTTTAAAGCGAAGAAATTTGGGCAGAAGGGGACGTAATAACGTTGGTGACGACAACAGCAGCCCACACCCAAGGACACTACTTTACAGCAGGAAGAGAAGGCACCCTCTCCCCTCACGCTCCGCCTCTACGGCGTGCCTCACTACACACGAAGGGAATACTCCAACAAGAAAAATACACGTAGAGACAGAGACAGACAGAGAGTGAGAGACACCGCCGCACCCCACACCTCTTCTTTCCTTTTACACGTTTGTATTTTACCACACAGTCACACACACACACACATGCACATGGAAAGGAAAAGAAGAAGAAGAAGGAAGACGACTCTACCAAATACAACGACAGCACAAAAGGCGGCAATACCGCAGTGATCTGGTCATTCATAGACCAACTGCGCAAAAGGATTTACAACTACAGTTAAAAAAATAGGCTTGCGTCTCCAAGGCCAAAAAGCGGATTCCCAGAGAGGTTCGATGAACGATGGAGTTGGCTCATGAAAAACATAAGAATATCGCCCTCATAACAATAATAATATTTTTATTGTACGTCACGCAGTACGTGGCGTAAACTGCACTAGAAACAGAAGCGGAAGCAGCTGTCCTTCAAGAAAAACCCTTGTCCTTCTTCACTTTTGACAGAAACATGCGCGAGTTTGTGAAAACCCAAATGCAACGACTCCAGACAGCTCTGCCGAGATTTTGAACGGAGATCAGATAGCGGACGTGCGAGCATGGTACTGCCCTTTCTTTCAGGCACTGTGGCAACTGCCCCTGAAGCTCTTCCCAGAGCGGCCCGCTGTCGCTCCGACCAACTTGGTTTCTCCTTCAGATCTTCGGATGCACTCACAGCTGTAGTAGTTGAAATCCGTGCATAGGGACAACTGTGGTGCGAGGAATCCGTTGTGCGGCAACTCTGCGGCATGCACATTTCCGCGCGTTGAGAACCCGGTGCTGTGGACAGCTGCGTCGCCCTCCATGTATGCCAGTAAAATTGGAGTTACGAATTTTGGCCTCGATAGGCACCTTGTAGCATCGCCCCCGGGAGGTAAAGTTCGAACTTGTTGTCGCTCTCCCGTCCACTCCAGTCGCGAGGGAACCCAAAGAAGTAGACACGTATTGCAGACACAACAGCGGGCGCTCAAGCGACAAACTGCGTCTCCCCTCGTTGAAATTAAACGTCATACTATTGCTTGGCTCCTTTGAGAGCCTACTGGTTCCCTCTGCGGATATAGCAACATCAGTATACATGCCACACACAGAATGCATTCCAATGCGTTCAAAAATACGGCGTTCATTCACCGCGCCCGGCAGCACCGGCGATGCTGCAGAGAAGAGGAGACGCAGAGGCAATGTGGCAGAGCTTGAAGAGGTGTTGCAGGTTGCTGGGGTGACTGCGGGGCGGCAGTCGTCAGATTCACCCCCTCGCCTAGCTGCGTGGACGCGTCATGGTTGTAGCGACGGCAATGAAACTCGTAAGCACCATTTGCAATGACAGGCGATATCCATGGTGGTGGTGGGTGGGGGGGGGGGGCAGTACCGTTGCGAAGCACTGGGTTCTTTTTGCGGCTACTCAGTTGTGGTTTTCCTGCAAATGAGCTAGGAGACGGCAGCCCACACTTTTCCTGGGTGTTGAGAACATTGGGCTCACTCGCCTTGTGCGGCAGCGCGGGCGCCCCTCCACATAGTGCATGGAAGGCAGCGGTGGTTTGATGTGCCTCCCGCACTCCATCTTACCTGCAGCAAAATCACAGAGGGACTCTCGTAGAATCATGTGTTGGGCATCATGAGGTGGCGGGGAGCGAGCGCGCTTTATCGCTACACGGCCAGAAATAGAGAGAGGGAGACGCTGGCCGAGGCAACATACCCATGCCGAGCACACGCACACCCACATGAACAATACGCCGGGTTCTTCTTCCCAGCAAACACGTTCCGCCCCCTTCTTCCTCCATTTCAGCCTCAACTACTAGTGAAAGAAGAAACCATTATAAACAAATGACAAGACATAAAAGGTGGGAAAAAAAAGAAGTAGAAAAATAAGATTATACAAACTTAAAGTAAATAACAAAAGGAGAGAGGAATCAAAAAGGCAGGCAAGCGAAAACCCGCTTACCTGCCTCCTCACCTCCTCCGTGCCCAGCAGAGCGCGGCAGCTGACGGTATCCCTGCCCCCGCAAGAGATACGCGCCTTGGCGTGTTACCTGGAAGAAAACAACAAAAACAGCAATAATAAAAACCACGTAAATCACCACAGGAGCGAATCGGGATATGATTACAACGAGGAGTCAAGCACACTCGCAGTGGACAGTCAATACTGACACTACTCCCATGCGTTTGACCACTCTCGCTTCATCGTCTTGCCTTTCAGCATCACCCCCGGCTAAACACGGGTGTAGAGGCGGAACTTGCTGCTGCACGAGACCAGCTTGATCTGCTTCTGCTTGCAGAGGTGCTGCAAGCCCTTGGCGGCGAGGGCGACGGAGATTTTCAGACGGTCACTGATGATGGACGGCGTGATCACCTTGTACTTGGGCACCTCGTTGACGAGCTTGTCCATCGTGTCCTTGTCAAACACGACGGCGTTCTGCAGAGCCTCACGCGTGCGCCCCTTCGACCACTTCTTTGTGGCCTTCTTGGCGCCCTTGTTCATGTTCTGCAGCTTGCCCTTCTTGGGCGCCGGCTTCGTGTCCTTTCCTCCCTTCTTTGGCGGCATCCTGCGCTACTCCTACGGGTGATCTGCGTGAGGCCATGAGAGAAGATAGGGGGATAAAAAGTGAATAAGACTCAGCAATCAAATACCGAGTGCTGTGCGGAAGGGGGGAAACAATTAGAAGAAAATCGTGTGGGTGTGGAAAGGGGCCGCAGAGAAGGATGTTGCAGGCGCCACAGCCCACCGGTATTGCAGCTGAAGAGTCACACGAGCACAGAAGTGTCCATCGGCACCTCGTGGAATGCAGTAAAGACACCGCATTGGTTGAGAAACGAAAAGAAAAAAAAAGCAGCGGAAAAAACAAACACAAGCAAACCTCCCAGCAAAATAAGAACTCGTAATCAATACGACACGCATGAACATCCCAAAGCAACACGGAAGGTTGGCGGGGCAGAGGGAACAACAACAACAAACAAATAAACAAACAAAGTCTTGGCCGTCCTTTTCAAGTAAATATGGAGAAGCAATGCGTAATGAACATCCCTCCACTGTAGTCAAACGGCATATTTATTTTGTCTCGCTGCCAGCCTCGTCACCGGCCGCTTCATCAAAGCCAAATACATCTTTGTTCCCAAGGCCAATCATCATCCTCTGTGCCGTTGCTTCACCGAACAACTCCGTTAACTCATCAAAGTCCTTCTGACTCGCCCAGCCGTATCGTTTGTGCATTGCACGATACTTCTTTACAGCAAGCGTATTCTGAAGCTGACGAAGCAACCATCGCCCGCGTGCGAGACGGCGTGTAAACTCGGGTGTGCCTGGAGTCACTAGGGGCGGAGCTGTAAACCCGGTTTGTACCATTGCGCAATACGCCGCGGCGGAGGTCGGGAAAGGTGCTAGTCCCGGCGATGGTGCTGCCGTTGATAGAACCCGGGCGGAGGCGGAAGTGGCCCCTCCCAATTCCACCACACGCCTAGCGGTGGTAGAAGAAGCAAACGCAGGGGCAAGCAACATAAACTCTAGGTAAAGCTTTGCGACTTGTGGGTGCACATGCCCCCTCATTGTGGGGACTAACTTCAGCCGCGCCTGCACTCACCAAGGGAAAAACGACAAGATGCAGACGCGCCGGGGCAGGCACTCTCGCTCCTTCTTCTACCACGCACGCACTGACGCAGAAACACACATACACACGCATCAAAAAAAAAAAAAAACGACGAAAGCGGGCGATGTGCGTGACATCAATTCGCCACAAGCCTATTATATTCTCTTCCCCCCACCCCCCTCCTCCCTCTCCGTCCCACACCACCCAAACCATTACCCTTTACAATGATCCAGCCTCCTTGGGCTACGACTCCATGAGGCGCATCTCAACAGCCCAGCGAAGTAAAGCAACTGTTTTAGCGAGAGACGGCTGCGAGCACGCGGCCCCGGAGCCCGAATCAATGGCGGGATCATCGCCAACATTAAACCAGGAAGGCGGCGTCTTCTCAGCCCCTTGGCGATTCAGCAGCAGCCGATGTACCTCCGCGACAAACACGCGGTTCCGCGAGGTCCGCACAATTTGGGCAAGGCTGTCGGCGATACTCTGAGCCAACAGCGGCCATGACTGATGCAAGGGAATAGGAACGACTGCTCCTTCTGCCTCCTCCCTCTCTCCCCCTAACCGACTTGACCTCGTCACAGAATGACACACGAAACAATCAATATTCTCCGCTACGAGGCGGGAAAGGGCGGCCGCGACAGTCTTCGCCACGCACTCTGGAAACCCCTGCAAGAACTCGCTGTCACTGCTTGACCCAAAAAGGGCATCACTGTAAAGAACACGGCGCCACAGCTCGAAGGGAGCATCCACAATGAGAGTGATGCTCTGCACCCTCCGTGCGTCAAGAGCACCTTCCAGGTAAAAACTACACCCAAGCTGATCCCGCAATCCACATACATCACGGCAACCATCGTTCCCCACTTGCATGGGACGAGACCCGACTGCCTCCCATGAGATCTTCGGTAAGATGTAAGTTTCGCTGAGGCGAGACAGCAGCAAAAAAATGGTTCATTCTCCATAATCGCGTCTGTTTTCAATCGTTCACTTTTTGATATGGCCTCTCGCGGCCGCTTTTTTTCGCTCCTCTGATGTTACCGATGGGAAGGAGGTGGCGACCGAGCACATCGCACCATCTGCAGCATGAAGCAACAAAACTGCGGTATTTTGCCCCGCTTGTGATCCCAGTGGGATGTTGGCATTTAAAAGCACTGCCACCCGCACTAGTTGTTCGGGCACAACGTCACCATCGCAGCTGATGCCACCTTTTTCAAGAGGAGTTGACATCATCATCGCACTGTGCGTCGCCCCAAGAATCCCCGTCGCGCCCCCTGTCCCAGGTTAGGTGCGGAACATACGGCAGAAGCGAAACACGAAGACTGGTTGGAAGGCCTGTCAATGCAGAGCAAACGGCTAACCGGCGCTGCAACTGCGCACACCATTCCGCAGACAGTGTCGTTCGCGGGAAATTGAACGGGAGGGAAGGAACAGATATCGTCCCGGCGTCCGTGGGGGATAGGAAAGAAATGTGATATGTGAAAACATTGCTGCCGTCCCCGGAGAGCTCGTTGTTGAAGTGGGGCCGGCTCCGCGAATCGGACTGCCACGTCAGGGTGCTCGTTAGTTGCGCCTCAACCACAATGAAGACAGGCAGAGGAGAGGAGGGGCACACCGCCGCCCCCACATGCTTCTGCTCCGTTGCAGAGAGCAGCTCCACAGTGTGAATATGGTGTGAGCGGACCAGACGCACAAGACCTGCCTCAAAGGCCTCTGCGGTTGTGGTGACTGTGCCTGCGGCTGCTACCGCCACCACCGATGGTGTGCATGGCATCGGAAGCAACTCTATTTGTCTTCGACTTCTTTGTGCCCGTTCCCGCCCCGATGCTGAAGTGGAGGGCGTGGAGCGGCCAGGTTGATTTGTTGCGATTAAAAGAAGCAGAAAACGTAAAGATGCGCATGAAAATAAATAAATAAATAAATAAATAAATAAAAAGGCAAGAAACTCATACACAGGCCCAAAGAAAAGAAGAAGATGAATAAAAAGAACTTTACGTTTCAAACTCCACCGCCTCCATCAAATGATACATTCTCATAGGATAGAAACACAGATTGCAGTGAGTAAACATGCATCTTCCCCATTTCTTTCTTCGCCTTGCTACGTAATTGTCACACGCGTGCATGCCTCTATGTATGCGAGTTAACACTTGCATGTTTTTCCCCAGTAACTTCCACTTTTTTTTCCCTTTTCTTTTCTTGTTTTGCACGGGTTTACTATACATATGGGCAGACATCATCGGGTCTCCAGATTACGTCACAGTCACGGTTTCTTCTTGGTGTGGCGTTTCCACTTGCTCCTCGGCAGTCGGCTCCTTTCCTTCGAGTGTATGTACAAACTCTTCAGTCTTTTTTACTAGCGAGTCATGCAGCGGGCACATGGTGTCGTCGTACTCATCACGCACCTTTACTGTTCTGCGTATGATCTCCTCTTGCAGTTTCTGCATCTCCTCCACCGCAGAGCTCATGCTGTCCTTGATGGACTGCAACTCGTACCGCAGGCGTGTTACTGTCTGCCGCCTCTCCTCCAACGAAATGGGCGGGTCAGGCAACTTTGCAATCTTCTTCACGCGGTAGTACTCCCGCAATGCCCACAGCCATTGTCCAATGGCGGCAAGCGGCACGGAAATTAGAGCGAGAGCCTCCGGGGTGTGATCGGGTGAGGAACAGTAAACCTCCAACTCATCCTGTACATCTTCAGCAAGAGGCTGCTTCAGCAGCGTCTGCGCACGGCTGATAAAAAAAGTAAAAAAGTAACTGTCGCTAAGAACCACTTGCACCGTAGACCACCGCACGTCTTCATCCCCGCGCACTCGCAGAGCCATTGACATCGTCACCAGGGCCTGCTCCGGTGGGCATTCGTAGTTGCGCAGCACCGCAAGCTCCTCTTTAGTTACAAGGTCCAGTTTCTGATAACTCTCCTGCATCGCCTTATGTACGGGTATCATAAGATCGTTCTCAACAGCCTGCAGCTCCCGCACAGGAAGCGTCTGAGTACCGCCACGACGCTCTTGGAGCACAATAATGCGCTCCAGCCAGATAAGCTGCGTTTCAATGTACTTTCGCTTCTCTGCGCCGGCAAAAATTATAGTCCGCAGAGGTGCAATAAGTGGCTCGTAGTAAAGCAAAACACGTGTCAAATTCATCCGGTACTCACAACACAGCATACCGAGCTGTGCCGCCTTGAGCTGCACATCTCCCTCAATATTGACAAGGGCAGCCAGCTGCTTCTCTGTAAGCATAGACGCTGGGCCATGAATCGGCGCAGCGATGGTGGTCATCCTTTCACTTCCCAGGCAAAACAACACCAACACCAAAAAAAAAAAGTTGCACGCACACATGACACATTTATGCACCAAATAAACACACAAATCCAAAAAAAAAAAAAAAGACATCGTTTTAATTTTATTTTGTGTTTTGTTTTCTCAAAAGGGAGGGGAACATACGCATTCATATGTGCAATAGCGTGATGGAAGAGGCCTTGCGCCTCGCTCGTCCCACAGTCGACAAGTGTCGCCTAATTGCGCAAAAAATTTGACCACCGCGTGCGGGAAAACTCCTTCCAGTTCATTTCCAGCTGCTCGTAGATGTCAGCTGACGTTTGCGGCGGCCAGTTGATTTCCTCCTCAAGCCGTGTGAAGGTGTCAAGCGGGAAGTACGCTGACTGCAGATCTTTTCGACTCCGAATTCCCACAGGCCGCTCCAAGTTGTTGAGGCTAAGCGTAATGAACACATCTTGGTGCTCCTTCATCATCTTTTCAACCTTCCGCATCTGCTCCTCCCCCATGTCCACCTGCAGCGTGACGTACCGCGCATACGTCAGAGGGGTATTGTCGGCGTCACGGAAGCGACTGTACGGGCGCATAATTCCCTCATTTGTGAGTTTGCGGATGAGGCCACCGTTGTTGTATATCGCCACGGCAATCTCGCGCAGCGCTTGAGAGGTGAAGCGCCGCTGCCGTGGCTTCATCACCAACACGAAGGCGTAAAACACCATCTCTGTCCCTTTCCTTTAATTTCTAACGACTGCGACCCTCGCCTGCGCCGCCGACTCTCCTCAGCGTTGTGCCGTGCTCCGACGCCCCGCCAGTCCCTCCCTCTGCGTCGCGGCTAACCAGACAGACAGGCGGACAGAAAGAGAGAGAAAACCCAACAAGAACAATTTAAAAAGGAGAAATAATAATAATAATTTTTTTTAAAAAAATATATGTGGTTCCTCAGCACAGGCACACACTCACACGCACACACAGCAACACATACAGTGGATGCTTTTGCCCAGAAGTTGATCAAGGCGGTGTCACCTCCAGTAAAATGCGCAGCTTCCTCGGTTCAAGGTCATTAAAAGGCGTAGGGGAAGTCGACACAGCCGCCTCGTCATCCGCTGAAGTTGACTGCTGCTGAAGTTTGAGAAGTCGCTTGTAGCGCAACTCATACACATCACATAGTCTTCGTAAGACTCCCTGGGCAATTTGTTCCCGTAGACGGGGTGATCGTACTGCGGCAATGATAGGAATGTAGACTCGACCTGAAGCTGCCACCATGCCGTAAAATGCGTGAAGTTGCGCGGAAACGGTGGATGCATCTAACTGTTCGCCATCTAGCTCAAATGCTTCTTCCACACCCACCGTATTGAAACTGCAACTGCAGGCCAAATCCTCTCCGCCTTCCACTGACTGTGTCACACTGTCGTGTGGACGTCGGCAAAAGTAGTGCCGCACAGCACATTGCGAAAGCATAGTTGTCAGTTCTGTTGTAAGTTGCTGAACCCGTTCTGGAACAACGTTCGACAGCGGTGTTGTATGACCCGCAGCTTCACTTGAAAGCTCGAGTAGGCCCAGGTAGGGTGCGAGTGCTTCCTGCAGGGAAGACATGGTATTAAGCTGCAACGCCAGCTTGCAGGGGTCATCGAGACTGCTGCTCACGGTGGCGTGACGCGCGAGCACAAGAGGAAACGACAACACGTGTTGCACCAGCACGGTAAAAAATTGCTCATGACAAGCTGGGGCGCTGGCAGGAGCAGAGCTAACATGTGTCGCGCCCTTGGACAGCATTCCCTGCACAGCTTCCATGACCTCCACATGTTTTTCCGCTTCAGCCATTGTGGCATGCAGAACGCGTAGGCAATCTTCCACCTCTGGAGGGGTGGGAAGAATCATGGAATACAACACCCGCAGAAGGTCCACGCACTGTGCTTGACGTTTCGATAGCCCACTGCGGTGGTACGGGTTGCCGCTGGCGCTACGATTCCCAGGAGAGGATGCGCCTCCCCCGGCGAGCAAAAGCTGTTGCGTCTGTTGCACTTGCAACTGAGGCGGTTTCGCGCGGTCATCGTGAAGAACGACACTATCCGCATCCACGTCCTCCTCAGCGGCATACAAAAAGAGAAAATTCGTGACAAAGTACGTTGCCGCGTCTCCACTTTTGTTGGCCACCTCCATCGCAGGCGTCGCCTCTGCAGAGGCCAAACGACGCAGAACGGTGCAGCGACTCACAACGCTGCCCACACTATCCAGCGAGTGCTCCATGAGCTGTTTGGCGATGGTGTGATACACGCGAAGGAGCTGCAGCTTCGCGTCATCTACAATAAGGCGCGTGAGTGCCGCCTCGCGTCCGAGGAGTGCAATGAAAGTGCTATGACCGCAGTACGTAAAAAGCTGCAGAAGAGCATGGGCCGTGCGAAGCCCGTCGGTGAGCCCCACAAGCGTCACCCCAACAATTGCCTCTTGTTGCGCACGATTCAGCACATGTTGATAGCGCTGCACACCGCTGGCAGAATTGGGCGCCAACGAAGCCACACGTCCCGTTGCCGCAGAAAACCACCGCGTAATTCCGCCAGTAAGGCCAATCGGACCGGAGGGAGTTGACAACACACCGCCACCGCCACCACCGCCTCCGCCTCCGACGCTGCCACCGCCAGCACCAGAAGCATCCCCATCCTGAAGACTCGATGCTTGGCGCAGGAAGCGCTCCAACACACCCTCCAGCACACTCTGAATGTGCCTGGGGAGCACCTCAAAGATGGAGTCCAGCACAGTGGCTTTCGTCAGTGGCAACTCTGAATTTTTGGCGTTACCAAGCACGTCTTCTTGTGCCAATGTGTCTCCCTCTTTAGCTGCGTAGGCCACAACGGCACCCTTCTCAGCAGAACGTGTACCTGTCGGCGTGGTCAGAGACACTCCTTGTGACGGCGTAGGTGGGAAAAAAGCGCTCATAAAATCCTCTTCGTCTACAATAACCTGATGAAGCCAGGCAAAGAGTGAACTGAAAAAAAAGATTGGATTGCCAATTTCTGCTTCTAACGGGCGTGTCCCCCCAGTGGTGTTTGACGCCTCGCTGCTTTTGCCTCCTGCACGGTATGTTCCAGCCAACGTTGTGGCAGAGCCAGTTGTCATGAGATGAAAATACTGTCGCAACACCGCAGCACGCCGCAGCCGCGCCACCTCCTCCACTACTGCCGCCCACTGATTGATGTTCTCTTCGCGCAAAAAGTTGACGCACCGCAGGCAGAAGCTCGTCATTTCAGGCGCATCAGCACCAAAACCCACAGCACCTGGCACGGCCGCAGACGCAGAGATTAAATAACGTGCAACCTTTTCCGTCCCCTTCATGATTGCCAAATACGTAATATCCATCATAGACGCCGCACTTTGGTAGTGTTTACGTGAGAGTAATAACTCGCGGCACTTTCGGTGTGTCTTCTGCGCACTCTGTAGAACGTCAAGGTACGTGGCGTCCACTGGACTCTCATTGAGAACCTCCTGCTCCTCCGTGCCAAAGTGATACTTCTCCTGAAATTCCTTCATTTCTCTATCACGCTGCTGCACCAACGACAGTTCCGCCTGAAGGGTTGTCATGAGAGCCACAAAATCCTTAGTGCGTGCCGCATGTGAGTCGAGGGAGGTCTGTAGAACTTCGCTTTCCTGGTGCAACTTCGAAACCGTGTCGGAAACCTCTTCAAAAACCTCGTTGAGGGTGGACCACTCCTGCAAGAAGTACCGGTGCAGGTCCACAACACGACCTTCCAACGCAGATCGCAGCGCTGTTGAAGAAGAAATGGATGCGGCCAGCTTCTGCTGTTGCTTTTGTTGTTGTTGGGGTGAGCGCCTCTGCACGGCGGATCTCTCCTCCTCCACGGTTGACACATCCGCGGAGGGCGGCAGAAAATTTTCCAGAAATTCCGGAACGGCGTCATTCATGTAAAGCACAAGTTCGCGAAAATTATCGTTAACGGTGATGTCAAGCAACTTTTGCACCTTCCGGCTGGTGGCGAAGCTCCGCGTGTGAGACGCAGAGCCCTCTGCTGCAAGCCCTCTGGCAGCACCCACTGTATCACCGCTATTCCTTGCCCTTGTTGCTGGGGTGGGGGCGGGAGTGGGAGTGGGAGTAGCGTCTGGTTGCTTCAACATTGCTGCCAACCACGGCAAATCACTACTGCTATGTCGGCTGCACCCCCTGCGTGCGCTCAGCGTTCACTATCCTATCGACAACGATTGCTTTTCTCCCTTTGCAGTCCCGCGTAGACGACACAACCACCTCAATGGGGGAGGGGAGGGGAAAAAAAAAAGATATATACATATATAAGCTTCCAACATTTCTTTTGTGTCAATTCGCCCCAACAACAGCACCTTCCCGCTGCAGGCAGCTACACACACACACATACACATACGCCCGTCACTTGGTGCAGATGCTGCATCGCAGCCGTCACCCTCCTTCTCTTCGTTCAGGTTGTTTTTTCACCTTTACGTCTTTTTTTTTTTAAACCCCTCCTCCTTCTTTCTTCTTTTACCAGCAGTTACAGTTTCCTGCCTTGTTCCATTCCCCGCCACCTACAAGCGGCCGCCCACCCACAAGGAAAGAAGTGTGTGGATGCGCACACAACAGCCCAACTCCTCCCATAAGAGAACGAGAGTAAGAAAGAGAGAGATAACGCGCGTGTGCAAACGCACCATTTAAAAAAGATCCAGGCGAAACGTATTCTCCGCAGCAATTGGGAGCAAACATGGGCGGCGTACGTGGTGAACTGCCTTACCCGCCACACGCTTTGTGCGTCCCCCGGTGAACTGTGAGGATCCAACGACATTATTGCCGCAGTCGAGAAGCAGCCCGAAGGAGGCTGTTCCGAGAGGCACCGGTTTGCCGACGATGACGCTCTCCGAGACGCTCAGATTTTCATCCACGCGCTGCGTCACCGCGGCGTTGTAAAGGTGGTCGGTGGTGCGTTCAAAAGAGGCCATCGTCAGCACATTAAAGTTCATCTTCTGGATGCCGTACCGCGTGATGCCGAGCACAACGCCACGCTGCGTCATGAGGTCCGCGAGAAGATACACATGCCGTATGTCAATACTGAGACTATAGGCCTTGAGAATCCCTTGAATTTCATTCACAATCACCTGCCGTGCCGCCTCAATGCCAAGAACACGTTCTACTACTGCGACGTGGTTACAGACAACGCGCGTCGACTCCACGTCGGGGAGGTTCATTACCGCCCGAAGCTCTGCACCCTCTGCGAGCACCTCCGCCCCGTTAGATGAAATCATCGCACGGTTAATGCCAGCAATGCCACCCACAACAATGTCTGGGAGTAGCGAAAGCAGTTGACGCAGGTTAAAGTGGACACGGTGCGCCTCCAAAAAGTACGGATATACCGCCAAAGTATCAAGGCTTATGACTTCCACGCAATCGTCACGCAATAGACGCAAGGGTGACATTGGCCGTGCTGCTGCCGCGAAAATACGTTGGCGCACCGTAACGGCATTAATTGGCAGCTGCAACTTGGCAATAACCGACATGTTGAGGTGCACACGAAGATAAAATTCCGTAGACGTGCATACCTCCACAATTTCTGACACCACCTCCTTTAACAGCACGCGTTCCACCTGTGTCTTTACACTTCGAACACGTTTTTCAAAAGCCTCCGGTGAGTCCTCTCCCCCTGCATGCGTCTCCGTTTTAACCAAGAGTGACGTTTGCTGTCGCTGTCGCCGCACAGGTGCCGTGATAACTGGAGTTGCAATGTTGCGATTCGCGTTAATAATCTCAACAAGGCGTGGTACACCTTGTGTGATGCTCATGCTAGCAACACCCGCAAAGTGGAAGGTCCGCAGTGTCATTTGTGTACTCGGTTCACCAACGGACTGTGCCGCGATCGCCCCACAAGGCGTCCCGGGCTCGCAGGCCTTGAGAATGTACTTACTTGCGCACTGTGCCAAGAAACGGGTTAGCATCCTCTGTGTAAGCGGAAGCAGCTCCGTTTGAAGTGTTTCAAGAACTCGGAGCTCAACATCATCGTCCCCAGATTCTGTCTGTAAGCCGTTGTGTGCCGTTTTTATGCCTACGCGTTCACGAGACGTGGATGAAAGCTCCAGCAGCGTACGGATCCGCTGCTGCTCCCTCACCATCTTTTGGAAAAAATTCGCCACGTCCTCCTTAAACTTTGAGCTACTCACACGCGCCAGACGAGAGATTAGCGCGGCACGGCGTGTGCGCTGGCGTTGCGGCATACGTTCTTCCCTTCTCTTTTCGTCAACACCCTTCACCTTAACGTCTCTCTCCTCCAGCCGCTCCAGCCGCTCACACACCGCAAGCACCTCCGAGTCCCCGGACAAGCACGCCGCGACGAATGCCGGCACCTCCGTTGGCAGCAGTGAAACAAATTCACCGTCATCATCAAAATGAGCGCCTTTGCGCTCGCCGTGCTCACGCCGCGTCCCGTCACGTCTCCGCCCATCATTACTAGTGGTATCATTATTGTTACTGTTACTCGAGTCGTTGGTAATGCTGCGCCGCTCCACAATCCAGCGCGCGTATGCGGCGCGTGCGCTGAGCCACTCCTGCTCCAGGTTGAGAGGTGTGCCAGTAACGCCCTCCATAAGCTGTGGGTCAAGACCGTCCTCGCCAAACCTAAACTGCACCACGTCCCCCCTCGTGTTGCGAGCTGTACCGTCATACCGCACGCTTAAGTTCTCCATGGCCTTCATAAGACGACGGTAAATGTAGCCAGTCTCGGCTGTTTTCACCGCGGTGTCAACGAGACCCTCGCGGCCAGCCATCGTGTGGAAAAAAAATTCCGTTGGCGTTAACCCGGAGTAGAAGGAGTTGGCGACAAAACCACGTGCATTTGGCGCCTCTTCAAAGCGGTAAAAATGGGGAAGTGAACGATCTTGAAAGGCGTTCAAAATACGTTTCCCACTCACCGTCTGCTGCCCCACACACGCCATCATCTGAGCAATGTTCAGTGCACTACCTTTACTCCCAGACTGCACCATCATGAGCGGGGTGTTTGTATCGATTGAAAGCGTTTCTACAGCCGCGGTACCGCATTCATCACGCACCTTTGACAGCTCCGCATTGAGGCGCGCCTCAAGCGACTCCCGTATAGTGAGACCTGGTAGCGGTTCCATGCGTCCTGTTTTGGCGGCGTCAATTAGGCTGTCACAGGTGGCAAAGGATCGAGCAAGCACAGCTGCCTTATGCTCGTTCAGCAGTGGTGTCGGCGCAACATCGCCGAGACCGAGACTGAAACCGTAATTTGTCAGGTAGCGCGAGGTGAATTGTGCGATGCGAGACATGATTCGGGCCGTGTATCCGCCCCCCGCAAGTGTGTGCAGGCGTGCAAAGAGTCCATCCTTTGACCCACCCCCAAGAAGCTTCTTGTCCAGCCGACCAGATATGAAGCAGGAGTCAAGAAATGCTACATAACCTTCAGCGGCACAGTTGTGCTTGCCCTCTTTCGTGTAGAACTTCGTCGCAGCCTCAAGATTAAGCAGAACATTTACCTCCGGCGAGGGACGCACGATGAGTTCAAAGACCTGCTTCCCAGTCCAGAGCTCTGTCGGTTTCAGAATCGTCGGTATTGGTAGCCAAAATTGGGTAACCGGCCCAAGCCAATGGGACACCATCCATGACATTTGCGAGCGATCAAAGAAGACGTCGCGGGACGTCACAAGATAAGCTGCGACGAGAAAATCTTGCGTACAGGCAATAATGGGTTCACCATTCTTTGCATTAATAATATTCTTAGCCGCTGACATCAGTTCAAATGCCTCTGCGCGTGCTTCCTCCGTCTGCACGAGATGTACATTCATCTCATCTCCATCAAAATCCGCGTTATATGGGGCACAGCAGCATTCGTTGAATCGAAACGTGCGAAACGGCAACACACGTGCCCGATGGGCCATCATGGAGATACGATGCAGAGAAGGCTGTCGATTAAACAACACAACATCACCATTCATTAAGTGTCTCTCCACAATATCACCAACCGCCAATTTTGCCGAAAGCGACTCACGGTCGCGTTGATTGTTAAGCGCTTTTTTAGACCCTTCCTGAGCAAGATACACTGTGGTGGCTCCTGGATGCACATTTGGGCCGTTGCGCACAAGTCGTCGCATGAGTTCTAGGTTAGACTTAAAAACACGCTGCGGATATGTCAGTACCCGTGCAACGCGTAGAGGAACGGCTAATTCATCCACATCAAGATTTGGGTCAGGAGAGATCACTGAGCGGCCGGAAAAGTCTACACGCTTTCCACTAAGATTTCCTCGAAACCTTCCATGTTTCCCCTTCAGACGCTGCGCGTAAGACTTGACGTCGGCGGTACGCATGTGCGGTGGAAACCCTGGGAGGGCAGAGTCCAAGAGTCGAGCTGCACGCATTTGAAGCATCTCCCACGTCTCTGTATATTTGCTGGTATCAATTGAGCCATCTTGAAGTGTGTCGGAGCTGATAAGAATATCGTTATATTGCCCTGTAAGATCATCGTCACGGATAGCTGCGGTTCCAGAAGCGCCACGCGGCCGCACCGAAACAGGAGGAACGAGCAACGTTGACACGAGCAGGTCCACCGGATTTGTGCCAGGTAGCAAACCAAGAAGTAAGACCTCGTCCGGTGGCACAGCAAGGAATAGTTGACGCACCCGCGCCGGATCAAGAAACTCATGAACGTTCTCTTTGCTCTCCTCCACCACCTTGTTGTATGCGCATGCGGTGCGTAAATCACAGTCAAAAAAAGTTTCACCGTCCTCAACAGACTCTTCCCCGCGGCGCAGTTCAACGCGATACTTTTCGTGCACAAGACGTAAGGGACGCACCCGTCGCACAACCCCATTCAATCCCCCACACTTGAGGCAGACACGTGTTTTATAGGCGTCTGTCTGTATTGTCTTAATCAGCGCTGCCCGCTGCAGTGGTTCTATTTTGGTGGACGCCAGCCGCCGCTTGTAGTACGCAATTTCCGCGTCATCCAGAAGCAGATGGGAACAGCGTTTGCATATCGTGCGACAGATTCGCAAAATTGTAGTGAAGAAGCCGAGGTGGAAGACAGGGGCCTCGAGGTCGATGTGGCCGGGGTGACCGACGCAGTCAATGCTTCGCAGCCCGCACGTTGCACAGACGGAGGCGCGGTCACACACGCCAAGGCGGAGGTCATTCACGCCGTACTCCTTCACAGCCCCAATGACGCGTCGACACGGAAGGACGGAGAGGCGGTGAATGTCGCTGCGTGAGAGGAGGCCATAATGCAACGCACTAATCTCAACTGGCGCGTTCGGCAGTGGCTCCACAAACTGCTGTGGAAGCAACAAAGACGTAGTGGGGCCTCCCCCACGCATTTCGGCGCGATTGACGAAGCCCACCCGCACGTACGCCCAATGGAAAAGGCACCGCTCTCCTCCCCCTCACCGTAAGCAGCACAGAACGGACCTAAGCGTGCGCACACGCACACAAAAAGAAGAAGACTGAGGCCTTCAGAAGCCGGCCGTTGTGCGTTATCGCAGCAGCTCGTGCTTCAATGCGGCAGAACACACGAAGTAGAAAAAAATAAGAGAAGTAAATAAATAAATAAACGGCAGTAACGACAAATCTCCAAGCACAAGAGACAACAACATCTTCCCTCCCTCTCCAGTCTAATCAAGTCTAATTTTAACTGCGTCCCGCATTGTTTTGTTTTGTTTTTTCCTTTCTTCTTCGTCCCTCTTTCCTTTTCCTCCTCTGAAGAGAAGTTAATATGCGGCGATTTCCCGCTCTTTTATCAACACACGGCACTCACTTTTTTATTTACTTTCCGCATTTGTTTTGGTGTGCCGTTAGTTGAAGTTATAACTCGAGCTCATCTCAACGTACCATCCCTTCTTGCCTGCCCCTTTCATTCCTCCTCCCGCTGCCCTCCTTCACTCTCCCTCGTGTTGTTTTTCTCCCCGCATCCCCTTTCTTCGTTGGGTCCCCTCACATACAACATTCCCGTTTTTCATCCACTGAGATGTGAGATCTCGCCCCACGCAGTCTCCGCCCCCCACCCACAGACTTTGCTTGCGGCATAGCCCTTCGGCCTGTGAAGGGTTGTGTATCACAGGCACACACGCGCTTGCAGGCGTATGCGTGCGAACACATACATATGCCCCCACAACAGCGCCCAATGAGATCGAAGAAAATAACACCCATTTTAAGGGAAAAGAAAAGGAGATCTTTAACAGTACAAGTCCCCAGGTACTTCCTAGTTTCATGATGCAAGCCAGTCGATGAGTGGCTTTGCAGCTTCTTTCATTTCCTTGTCAATGGCTGGATCAATTTTGGAAACGGGATTCTCATCGTTACCCCACTCCTCAATGGTTGTACTCTTGAGGATCCCCTCAATGAAGAGGACAAACAGAATCACCACCATCTGGTCCGGCTTGTACCGCCTTGAACAGATACGAGCGCACTCCTCAACAGTGGCCGACTGCAGCCGATTTTCACGCCTCAGGATTTCTGTCTTGGTCGTCTCGTCGGTGGCGGCGTCTGGCAAAGCGGTGCCAGCAACTCGGCAGAAACGTTTTAGCAGCAGTGAATGACGGCGTAAACCGGCCATAAATTCCTTTTCTGCAAGTTCAATGCCATCAAGCACAAGAAGAGGGCCCATTTTCTCCTTTAGGTTGTAATCCCTCATGAGATCCATGCAGCATCGCAAAACTCCATCACTTTCATCCGGGTGCTTCTGAATGTAACTCGCAAGTAATTTCTGCGGTGGCTCACGTGTTTCCTCAACATCTGATCGTTGAATTTGTTTCTTTGTAGTTTCAGCCGGAACTGCAGCCGCTGCGGCCGCAGCGGCTGCTGCCTGATGAGTTTTATCACCAGCACGGGCCTGGGCTGTACCAGCACCTTTCTTCGCTGCCAGGTGCGGATTCTTGGCAAAATACGTGACAATGGCAGTCACATAGCGTGTTTCGAGATCACTTATTTTCATCACTTTACCACATGCGCCGCATGACATGCTAATGTATGGAGTTTTCTTGTTGGTTTCGACCACAAGTTGCGTTTCGGGATTTCTACAGTTACGGCAGAGGACAAACTTGCGAATAAAGTCATAGATTTTCTCCTGCACACGCTCCTCTGTGTGACTTCCCATAATAAGGAACTTGTCATCCTTTTCTAGCACCGTACGCTGAGCACCGATTTCGGACTGAAAAACTTCATGAGCACCTCCTCAGGGCGATTGATGGCAAGGCACACATCGTGGATATTTGGGAAAACCGTCTTGATACCGTTACCGCTACCCTCCACCTTCGTCTGAATGGCAGGCATCTTGTAGCGGTAGTAAATATCATCCCGCTTATCGGGATCAATGGGTATCATTGGGACCGACATTATCGACGACTGTGCGTGTGCGCGTGTAAGTGGTTTAGTCCTCTAAAATCTAATGGGCGCGTTGGATGCGGCAGAATTTCAAAAAACGAAAACAAAACAAACAAAAAAAAACAGACACACACACTTTTTATTTTATTTTTGAAGCGGGGAGGAGGCCATGAAAGTCTGGCAAATGGGAGCGAGACGTTCGCCGCCTGCGAAAAGGAGAGAGAAAACGGGCAATCGGAAATAAATAATTTCCAAACCGGGACACGTTCAACCAATGTGAGTAGAAGCGATACACACACACATGCATAATGTTTATATATATATAAAGGCAAAAAGAGGCAACGGTGAGGACGAGGAAGTGGGATGCGATGTTGCTAGCAACGGCGCTCCAACTCTTCCAGCACCTCCGCCGCCTCGTCGCAGATGATCAGCACATGCAGCAGTGAGGCTGGGTTCATCACCTCCGTTACTGCCTTGGCCTCACACTCCGCAAAGAGTGCCGCAAATCGGGCCTGCAGCGATGGTGTGAGGGAGGCACTGCAGTAGTGTTCCACGAGCTCCATTGCGGAGGCGGCGTCAAGAGGACCCAGGTGGATTGTGAGTGTTAATACGCCGGGCTTCCAAAAGAGATCGGGCAGCTTCTCTGGATAATTTGTTGTAAAGACGATTACACGCCCCGGGGGGGGCAAAAGCGGTGTCCAAAGCGGTGAGTACGCCCTCAGGTGAGAGAAAGTCCGCGACCAAGAGCTCTCTGTATTTCTTCAGTGCGTTCATGGCAAAGCGGTAATCTGTGGACTTCCCCTGTGAGTCTGAATCCGTCGTAACCGAGCCACTATCCCTCCTGTCGCCGGAGTCACCCGTAGTGGGTTCTTCTTCCTTCTCTTTATCTTCCTCCGTCGTGTCCTCCAGGTCTCGTAGCATGTGCTGATGCTGTAGGGGCAGCTGAAACGATAACACATCTGATATCGCCTCAATATCCTCGAACACATAAACCACCTTATCCACGTCAAGTTTCTGCGTTTGAGATGCCATAAATTGCGTCAAGACTTCATCCTCATCTTCTTCACTCGCTACCCCATCAATCATCATCACACCACCGGAGAGTATTCCCCGCAGCGTGCTGTTTGTTTGAATAAACCCAATGGGAACCGCCACAATATGTCGATCCAAAAACGCGGCTATGTTGCGTGCAACACTGCTCTTTCCCGTCCCTGGCATACCATGCAAAAGAATAACAAGCTGGTGTGGGACACCTGGCACTGCAAACTTACCCTTTTTCTGCCTGAATTCTTCAAGAAGCGCGAACAGCTGCGCCTTCTGTTGGAAAAATAGGTTTCCAAAGCCGCCACCGCCCGAAGAAAGAATAAATCGCCTCATATGAAGACACTGTGAATACTCCGACGGTTGTCGTGCCCACAACTCAAGAACATGATGCCACTCGGAGGCGGAGGGAGACAAGTAGTATCGCTCATCTGTCTCAGCAACACTGGGAATGTACCACGCATACGCCCTTTTAGCAAAAGACATTATGCGCTCCTTTCCACTTTCGTTCCTGTCTGTGCATTGCAGTATTGCCTGGCGCACAACCACCCTCTCAACCTCATTCCCGGCACGGGTAGCGTTAGACTGGTCTCCCATTCCATTCAAAGTCATCGCACCATCATTATTACTGGCAGTCGCTGTCGTCGTCGTCGTACCGTCAGAATCAATGCCCTCGTTTTCTTCATTATTTCGGGTCCGTTTGAAGGCATGTCCCCTCCGAGCGGCATCAAAATTGAGGGGAATAAAGGCATCCATGAGAGGCCCCTTTCCACGACGGGCGACGATCTTGCACTTCTTGAGCACCGACACCGGCACTATCTGCTGTTGGAAGCAGACCGTAAGGCCAGGCTCCACCTCCACCACGTCACCGTCTGCAGGACGCATGACAAGGGAAAAATTCCTGCGGAATGCTTCTACCGCACTCATGTAGCAGCCAGGATTAAGAGAATTTGGCTTAGACCAATATTCTGCCGTACGTAAGACTCTAGCAGACTGTTTCGCCATTTGTTCGTTATTGGCATTGCTTTTGGAAGTAACACCTTTCTGTTCCTCTTTTCCAAACTGAAGTAAGTGCGAGACATACTGCTCTATTGCGAGCACCAGCAACTCATTATCAAAGACAAACTCCTCCGGTTGATTCACAAATACGTCGACCGCAGCCGCATCCTTGCTTGTCTCCAAGGCTAAAAAGCTTCTCAGCTTCTCCAACGTCCACGATGGCCACGTTTCCGTCAAGAGCTTGTAAACGCGCCTCCCAAGAGCCAGAATCAACACTGCAAAGGCCGCATTCATCAACACTCCGTACGAGTGGATATTGCCGTTCCCATCCACACCACTACTGTTCGTCAACGCCTGAAGCAGATTGAAAAGGGTCGTTGCGGTGCTGAGAGAAGGAGAGCCCTCGCCCCAGACGTGGTCAACAAGCCGGTGGCCGCTTAACGATGACCAAGACGTCATGGCATATGCACGCAAAGGCGTGAGGAGTCTTCCAGCTAAACGTCTGCACAGCAGACCGTCCCTCGTTGGACTCGCCCAGGGAACGCAGACTAAGGTGGACAAAAACACACACCGGAGAAACTGCACGCCTGGCTGAGGTCTTCTTCCCTTTTCATGCGTGGTGAAAAGACGACAAAAGAAGGGGTCACAGTTTGCTTCAGTGTGCGCCCAACGTCCCCAGAAGAAAAGTGCACTCAAACTAGAAATGTGGGTGTGTACTCACCGGTCCATCGTTGCGCAGTTGCAAAATGACAGTCTGTGGGGCACAGCAACCACCGACCTCCCCCCTCCGTGTGGAAGGTGTTTTGGTTGTAGCCGTAGTAGGAGCAGGAGGTTGAGGGGGAAGGAATCGAAAACAAAATTTAGCTCGTTCCCCACCACCGCGGTTGTCTTCGGAAAATCATACTTCAGTTATGTATAAAAAATCAAGTTAGATGAAGACGACCCCCCTCCCCTCACGCACTTATTTAGCCCCCAGCTGGCCACGCACGCCCTCCACTAGTTGCTAGAAAAAAAAAAAAGACAACAACAACGCGAAGTCACATCCCCACAAACACACACCGCAGCTCTAACATTTTCACCGAAATAATAAAAGGCGGCGACGGATTCACAATTACATCCATCGCGTAGCTGAAATTATGCATGCTTCTCAAGTTACTGTTTTACTGCGCTTGAACGAGAACTTCAAACGGAGCCCCACGCTGAGTGAGAGGGGAGGGAGTTCGCGATCCACAGTTTGTTGTCCCCCACTTAACAAAATATGAAAAAAAGAAAAAAATATGTCTACGCATGTTCACCGCCCTGTTCCACCTGCGGCAAACCGCGGGCCGCACGAACCCACGGCAGGAAAGCCTGCGCAACCAGCAGCGGAAAGACGAGAGAGACTTCCGCGTACACCTTTGCGTATTCACCGTCGAGGCGTATTTTCCCCCAAGAAATTGCCTCTTCAGGACGGGCACCGGCGTCGCTGCCATCAAACTCCTGTCCATTATTGATGAACACGGTAAAGTCGGCCCCATTGCGCATAAGGTTGGCGTTGCACACGTGGTGCTTCACCACTCCTCCACCGAGAATAATCATTCCGGTTCGCTGGCTGCGCATAGCAAGCGTATTGAGACGGTAGATATCCGCCACAAGATCCAACTTCAGCATAGCGGAGGTCGAATTATCCATCGCCAAAACAAATTTCATGACGTCCCCGTCAACGAAGGATGGTGAAAAAATAGACACACCGTTCTTGGCTGCCCAATACAAGACCGTGCTCTCAGCACGCCGCTGCGCCTCATCCGCGACTGACCCGACCTCCCCCATGTTCCTCTCAAGTAAAGCCTCTGTAAATAGTTCCGGTAGCCATCGGCCGGCCAGGTACCACACTGCGCTGGGGCCAAAACTCCAGGTACAGACATTCTCGTATGCCGTGGGAGCTGGCTTGGCAGCCGAGGCGGCCTTGCAGCGCTTCTGCTCTTCGATTAAGCGAGACACCAGACGGCGCATGACGGATGAAAACATGAATGAGTCCTGACCCCCACCACTACCGCCGTAACTAATGTTTCCAAAGCGAGCACCCGCCTCACCTGCTGTTGCAGCTGCTTGCTGCTGTTGCGGCGACTGAGCTGCATCACCTCCCCCGTATTTGGTAATGTAGTAAGGTTCACATGCGCGGCGAATGTCATGCTCCATCGCACCTCCACTCACCACCAACGCATGAATAAGCGCCTTGGAAAGATGCGGTGGATATAAAGGCATTGTCCCATCATTATTGCCAGAGCCCGTCATGGGGGTTTCGTCAGACTTGACCGCTGGCAACACACCATCCGGTAAGGGAACGCACTCAGCACAAAGAAACCGAATTGCCTCACGACAGCCGGTCCCAAACAAATTTGCTGTCACCCCAAGGAAAATGGTCGGCTGCACCAAGGACGGGGAGAGTAAGGCCTCCTCATTCTCCGCTGCACCGTCCGCTTCAGTCAGTTGGCCTAACGACGCAGAAGGAGGTTGCGGTTGCAACATCTTTCTGCATATGGCAGCTGCATGTGCAAAGTGAGTGGCCTGAAAGCCCAACGTCGCATACTGTTGCAAGGATGCCGACAGCGAGCAGAGCTGCTCCCCGGCAGGCCCCCTCACTACCTTTGACGCACTGAACTGAAGGTCATCGTTGGATGAGCGAACAAAAACTGCGTTTAACGCCAAGTCCGCCATCGCCACTGTAATCCTCGCTTCCTGCGCACGTCAAGGTTGAGAGCGAGTTGGCAAGAGAAATCGGAACAAAGCGGTGGTGTCAAGCCTGAGGAGGAAAAAAAGGCGGAAACCCCCAAGAAGGAGACCACACAGACACAGACACAGACACAGACACAGACACAGACAGAAACATACGGCCAATATAAAACCATGAAAGAGAAGCGAGGAACACCCACAGAAACAAACAAACAAGCGGGCAACAACAACGAGAAAGAAGGACAGAAAAAAAAAAGTGGTAGACGGTAATGCTGAGTATTGATGTATCAAAGACGATCACCAGCTCTAAAATCGTGCTGCTCCCTCCACCGTCCACGGCGCCTTCACCGCACTACTCACCTGCCCCGTAACTGAGTACCAGATGGGCACAACACACCCTCGTGAAGAGGAAGTGCTAACGTAAGAACCAACTCAGATGAGGTCCAGTGAAAAACATAAACAATACGCAAAAATCGTTTGCAGTTGCCTCACCGAGCGTTTTCTTTGCGCTGGCAATTACATCACGAAAAACCAGTCATTTCCTTCTTTTTTGTTTGAGGCCCGTCTGCGACACTGCGAAGGCC